TACAGATTATAGATGATAGGATAGTGTAGTATTAGTGGGTAGTTAGTGTGTGTGTGTGTGATATATAGTATATAAGATAGATATTATATGGAGTAGTAAGATATAGAATATAGATAGTAGGGTATGATAATAGGAATTGATGTGGGTAGTGTGTGTGGTATATATAGTAGCTAATATATATTTATATATACTATAATAATATATTTATATAGTATATTAGGGTAATGATTAATTTATTTAATATATAATTATTATTTATACAGATATGTATGGTATATTTTATTTTATTTATTTATTTATATACTATATAATACTATATATTATATATATTTAATTTATTTATTTATTTATTTATATATATTATTTATTTTATTTATATATTATTATTTATTTTTATTTATTTATTTATTTATTTATTTATTTATTTATTATTTATTTATATATATATTGTTTATTTATGTGTATATATATGCATTATGTATGATATATATACATACATATGTATATGTATATATATATATGACATGTTCTCATTAAGGAAAGTGATGATACATATTGGCAACTGGTGCACCTTCCCGATCTAGCGGGTCTTCATAAACATTTGGGGAACTAAAACTTTTTCCCTCACTGCTGAACTATGTATATCGCCCAGGCGTAGTGAGTGACAGTGGGGGAAATTATCTAACCTTCCATTGTCTTTGGTCTTATGTCAGACCAGTTACTCATTTTTCTGTAGACTGTACAAATGTCTTTTCAGACGTGAATGCATAATAATACATTATACATTTTTTTTATATATTTACATTCCAGATATCAACACGCCCATCTTTCCAAGAGCACTGGCTCAGGGACAGCCAGTTCAAAGGTTGGCTGGTGGGCATTGACGGTACAACTTCGAAGGCCTACTGTCGGTTATGCCACAAGAAGCTTAGTGCTGAAATAACATCACTGAAGCGCCACCGACTCTCTCAGAAACATGTAGCCTTGGAGAAGAACCAGAAGACGACTCCAGCCAGGTCTACTACTACGTTTAGACCACCACCGGAACCCAGCAAAATTATGAATGGTGTAGCCTATGCCACAATATTATTCGTTGTATTTTTGGCTGAACATAATTTGCCATTTAGGTGAGGATTGTAATACCCGTGTGTATGTCATAACTATGATTTTTCTTCTTCTTTTACTTCTTCATTTTCTTCTTCTTCGTCTTCGTCTTCGTCTTCCAATATTGCAATATGAAAGTGACTTTTCTGTCCCAATACTGCAGTATAAAAATGACTTTTCCCCAAATGTTGCGATACAAAACTTTCTTTTCAGGCTATGTGGTGACCTGATGGAACTGAACAAGAGGATGTTCCCCGATTCTGAGATCGCGGCTCAGATGGCGATTCGGAGGAAGAAATGTGCATCTCTCGTTCAAAGCCTCGGGGATTACGCCTCCCAGAAATTAGCTAATAAGCTAACAAAAAGCAAATTTAGTTTGATTGTGGACGAAGTATCAGACTGCGGCTCAGAGAAAGCATGCGCTGTAGGAGTGAGGTATTTTGACGTGGATGAAAACGTTATAAAGACCACAATGCTCGACGTTGTAAACGTTTGTGAGGGTAACGAGGCAGGTCCAACTGGGGAGGGCTTATACAGTAAGCTTGTTTCCAGTCTAGGTTTGCTCAGCATTCCGACATCCAACCTCATAGGATTTGCGTATGATGGGGCATCTAATATGATGGGTGTTTTTAATAGCGTAAGCAATCTGCTCCGAGATAGCTTCCCAGGAATTTCAGTCTTCAAATGTGTATCCAGCCGTCTTCAAATATGCGCAAATGAGGCATCAAAAGCTCTGCCAGAGTCATGTGAGAACCTCGTTCATAACATCTATAGTTACTTTGGCCAAAGCGGTAAGCGGCATGAATTTGAAAATCACCAACTCTTTTGTAATACAAAACATTTTTCTGCCACTCAGTGGTTATCCATCCATGAGGCTGTTGCAAGGATCATAGAACAGTGGCAGCCCTTAAAGATGTTTTTCACAAATGTGTTGTGGAAAGACCGGTCGTCCGCCGTCGAACAGATATGTGACGCAATGAGAAACCCTTCTGTCTACTGCTATTTAGTTTACTTGAACTACATATTGCCACACATCACTAGCATTAGCGAGGTTTTCGAATCCACATCAACCAACTTCCACCTTCTCCATGACAAAATATCTGGTCTTTACAGGCTCCTCTTAAATGATTTCTGCGACTCGCACAAAGTAGCAGCCTCAGCATTGCACGAGATAGAACCGTGCGATCCTTCATACCATCTACCTATAGAACAAATCAACCTTGGGGAGGAAGTGAACAGTTTATTCAGTCAACCAGAATATAAAGATGACATGGTCCGGGATATTCGACTCCGATGCAGAACTTTCATGATTGCCGCGTGCCAGCAAATCAAGGAAAGGTTTGACCTCAACAACAAATTATGGCGACTAGCATCTTTTTTAAATCCAAAGCAAGTT